CTAGGAATTGGATATTTTAGAATTCATCGAAGCTATGTTACTATTAAACTTTTGTTGTCTCTGAGTGAACATGTGCCCTTTTATATTTTATAAATAAGCAGAAAATGTTTGGAGCATCTGATAGAGTTTGGGGCACAGAAATTCTAATGGATACATGCTGTACTTGTGATCTCTATTTGGCAACCAGTCAGTCTTTTTTTTTTTATTATTTATTTTTTTCTTCAAGAGAAGGAGACTGTTGCTGATTTTTTTCCCCTGATAATTTGCCTGATCAGAGATATAGCTACCTCTTTTTTTAATTCCTACTGCAACATATATATTCCTGCTTGCTTTTAAATTTTGCCTCCTTTTGTTTCCTGTTTTGTTCTAGCCCTTGAGAATCAGTAATGCAGCTGCCCTGTGGCCAGCGGAATTGCTTAGTAGTAGCACCTCATCTAGTGCTTTGCCTTATTTGTGAATTTTAGGTAGTTGCTATTTATTTTAATAGCAGCATTACAAAAAATACATTTTGTCGATTTCTTTAGTTTGCTTATCTTATTGCATCCATTGCATTTTGAATTAACAAAATAGAGAAAGGTTGTGTAGGAATTCTTCTCACATGGAGTGTCATATAGCTAGAGATATTTTTTCTTGTCATAGTTAGGACAGTTTCCAATAAAAGTGATCTTTCTTGAGATTTTGAAGAGTAGCAATGAAATAGGTAATAATTATTAATTATCTTGCACATGGAAATGATTCTTGTTTATCATAGATTATTTCAGACTGTTTGCTCGCTAAAGACTCTCATAAGCCATACCTGGTAATGCAAGTCATGCTTTACTGCCATTTTTGAAGGATTTCAGTCCAGGTTGTAGCATGGTTTGGAGAGAAGTAACTGATCTTATTGGGCTGAGGCTTTCCCAGTATCCCTTGTAATTTGAAATACAGATGATAGTGTAAGTATTGAGTATCGAGTAGTTGGTCATACATGAGTATCAGAGAATTGAGTGGGGTAAGGCTTAAGAGAGGATAAAGAGTGGGAGAAGTTTCTACTATGCCTTGCTTTGTATCTTACCTTTGAATAAAAGCTGGTTATAGGTGTGACAACCTTTCTTAGAGAACTGTGTGTAAATGCATCACGTTAGGCCAGAGATCTTTGAACACAGCACTGAAGAAGAGACTAAAGTATGCTTAGATTGTATTGATTCTATTGTAACTAGAAATCAAGAACTAAAGATAATAGAGTCAGATGAGCAGGTTCAACCCAATGGTACAAAGTATTTTGTACTGTTGTCCATTCCATCACAATATGAACCTTAAAAATAAAAATCCCCCCTGCATCCAGAAGGTTGTTCCAGATGCTCACCAATCTATTGATTCTGCTTCTGATTACTACAGGGGTGGGTAGCTGTAATAATGTGAGTTTATTAGGCATCTTACCACGGAACTTTGTAGTCTGTAAGAATTGTATTCACAGTTTCTCTTTTGATCTTGCAGTCTGCCATATGTTAGACCTGAAGTACTTGAAGGATGTATAGTTTCTTTGGGTATAGTTTTGACTGTCTTACAAGCTTTCTGGAACAAAGCACTGAGAGAACAGACTTGCAAGAGGAATGTGGGGACTGAAAAAGGAGCTTCACCAGAGGTTTTCATTTCTAGGAGAAATAAGAATGGTTAAACAATTATTTGTCCCACAAAGATAGAAATACGAAATTCATTTTGACTGCTTGGCTTTTTTTAAGGTCTTTATATATTCACAGTTCCATATCCTAAGCATTAAGAGCAAAACAAAAAAAGCCCACAATCTTGTAAATAAAATTAATTCTATCAGCATATTGGAAATAGGGAAAGCAAGAAAAAATGCTACTGTTTTAGATCTGAGGAGGCTGAGGAAGTACTGCGTTATGAATTGCATATCATTACCTTGATTTTTTTTTTTTTTGTTTTTACAAGAATGCAGGAAAGTATTTTTTTAACAATAGTCTTTAAAAGTTCATAGTATTGCAACACTGAGTGAGTGAATTTCTTTCTAGGTTTTGAAAAAGCAAGAATGAGAAATGGTTACATTGGTTTTTTTTTTCTGTCTTGATGAGAAATCACTTTATTGTAACCTGAAATATTATATAATGTAACATGAAATAAATTCTGATTATGGAGATTCACCAAAAATACCAAAAATTGAGGATTTTCCAAAATGCAGAGAAATTTCAGATTGTTTGGATGGAGAGATTGATCTCTGTTATGCATGGCACATGTAAATTTCTGTTCTCTCTGTTTGGTCTGTTATGGAATAAATTAGAATGAAAAAAGAAAATGTAAACTAATTTAAGGAATGTGCTGTTTCCCCCGTTATTTGTCTATTTTGTCTAGTCTTGGAAGGCTGTTAGCTTGTTTCATGAATA